TTTTATTTATTATTTTTATAATATATTAGTATGTTTAATTTTTCCATAATACTTAATTTATTTAATCATATTCGAGCATGAACATATTTTCAAATATGAAAACAACAAAAAAATATTTATTTGAAATAACAAAAACAGATTTGTTCAACAAATGATAGTTTTTTTATAGTCAATAGAACTTTTAATTTTTTTAAAAAGGTATTAATATTAAATTTTAAGATTTATCTATTGATATTATTTATTTGAAACCGTTAATATGATGTGTGAGTTTACTAAATGTTGGTATTTTATTTATTGGGCTAACGAATATGGCTTGATGATAAATCTGTGAGCTTTGATTTTATAATTCTTATTAAAAATATTTAATTAGGAACGGTTAAGAACGTTGACTTGAGACTTGTTCATAGTAAAGTTACTGACAAATTTAAAAATGCTACCAATATATCTTGAAAATTAACGTTAATGACAAATTAAATGTACAAATATATTATAAAAATAATAAATAAAATATTAAATTATTTTAGTTATAAATAAAATACCTGGTAAAAATATATTATATAGTATATAATATAGAAGGTATTACATAAATATGAGGATTTATATAATAAGGGCATAATAGACTTTTCAAGTAAAAATATTATAAAATGTGGCAAAGGTGTCTTTTGTGATAACTGAAGCAAAGTAAAATAATTTTTGTGTAACAAAATAAAGAAAAATGACTTTTGAGTAATGAACACAAAATTAAATGATTTTTACATAACAAAAAAAGAAGTAACTTTTAGGTAACAAATACAAAAGTTAAATGACTATCAATAAAATTTAATCCCTAAATTGTGGGCAATTTGGGACTTGGGAGTTTAGCAATATTAAGCAAATTCATTGGGTAATCAACGCATTTTTCATTCAACCAATTTCAAAGTAGGTAGCAGCTGATATATATTAATGCAAATCTAGTTCGTAATATTTCATTCGGCAGAATTTTTTATTTATAAATAAAAAATTCTAATAAATACAAAAAATAGAAATAATAAGGAAGAGTAGAATTTTTGCAGGGAATGATTGGTCCGTCAGAAAAAGGAAAAAGGTGTGAAATTTGATTTCTTTGACTTTCATTTAATTCATTGGTAAGACGAGATATCCTTATCTCCCTCCCACCAAGACTGGAAATTAACAAACGGGAAATCTAGTAAGCCGGATCAAGAATTTTTTTTTTCTCCAAGAATTTAGTTCAGGAGACAAGTAGAATCTCTTCATTCCATGATTCGATTGAATTTTATGTTGAATTAGTAGGTGTCTGTACATGTATCAATCTAAGTGAACCCAATTTGGCTATACCCTATAGTTGTGTCAAATTTTTTACTTAATATATATAAATAATTTATCAAAATCAGTAAGCAAAAAACGTTGTGGTCCAAAACTAATAAACATGTATTTCTAGATCCACCTAGGATCATAATAAATTACTTTTCGCTCATCTATCCCCTTTTAAATTGTGTAACTAAACTAATTCATGATTATTTTTAATATAAACCTTCAGTGAAAAGCATAATTGACAACATTTTATTTTCTTATTACATGAAATTAATAGCCTGTTTGAACTATGAACTTGTTAATTCATTTTAACAATAATTAAGAGAGCAAAATCAAAGAATACTATTCAATGAGGTTGGTAGGAGTTAAAACTAACACCAAATGACTTCTTTTGCATTTTCTTGATTGACGAGAACACCCAATGGCTGCAAATTATTTTTAATCATTTTTAGAAGCTCTTATCACGTTCGTAGATTCTCCTTGAAAGAATAAAAGAATAATAAAGAAGGTAGGTGGCATGCTCAAATAACATTCATAATTAACATTAAATAAATACGGTGTCCCCGAAATTTCGCACTTCAAGTCTTCACTGCCGAATCTTTATTTATTTCCTAAACAAGAATAAATAAATGCTATGATCTTATTACTGGTCATAATTGGTACAACAACAATAAATCCAATTTAATCTCATAAATGAAGTTTGAGAAGGATAAGATAAAGTAGCCAAGTAAACAAAATTGACAACAATGCATTATGGTGACATGCGTGAATGACACGACAACAACAAGCACAACATGCAATAATAAAGCACCATGACTAAGATAATACAAAAATAGTCTTAGTACTACTCATAGGCCTAGGAGGAATACACTACTAACTGTCAACCTACAACCTTAATCTTCGACCTCTACATCTTTCTATCATGGTTCATATCTTCCGTAATCCGTCATAATTGGTATAACACTCTTTTCTTATTAATTAATTTAAAAATATTACTATATTTTATCTTTTTTTATATTCAAAAAATAATTAAAATTTTAAAATATCTCATTTTGTCTTTAATAATTTTTTTATAATGTAATAAATATTTAGATAATTTATTATGATTAAGAAATTTATTAAGATAAATATATATACTAATAACTAGTAATTAGTTATTATTAAATGAAAAACTTATCTATAAATATACGACACACATTTATTGATTTGGTATAAATTTTTATCGGACAAAACCATGTCATAAAACTGAAAAGGTGAAAGTAATAAAATATACTTCCTCCGTAATATATTTTATAATATGCTTTTAATATAATGGATAAATAAAAATAAACGTGATTAGTAAATTACTTGCGGTGTGTAATACTCCCTCCGTTCACTTTTACTTGGCAAGTATACTAAAAATAGATTTTATTTTTACTTGTCACTTTACACATATCAAGAGAGGATAATTTTTTTTCCATGTTATACGCACAATATTTATTATTCATTTCAAATAATTTTCTCAAATCCAATAAAATATGTATGGATTAATATGTATATTATGATAAATTATGTATTTTATTTATTATTTTTTAAGGGATGTAAAAAAATAAAATGAGCCAAGTAAAAGTGGAAGGAGGGAGTAACATTTAAGGATATGTTATGAAACAATAAAAGAAGAAGAAGAGTATTGCAGAGAAAAGTAGAGAGAAGAGAATTCTTATTGATATGGGATGAATTACAATGGAATAACACCTTCTATTTATAGGGAGAGATTGGCTTGCACATCATACTTAAATTGATATGGCCAAACCAGTTATGCCAACTGAATAAATTATCAATATTGATAAAGTTCAGGTTTACAGCATGACGTGTGCAATTATCGATAAACACCAAGTTAATTATGATATGAGTTTTTATACCAATAAACATCTACTTTAGTGTGGTGTTCTTTTATTCGTGTAGTACAAACTGGAGAATAAAGCGGGTAGCTTTTCACATACATATTATCCCGCTACAAGTTGTAGTAATAAAAGATATTAAATCTTTTCTTTATTTATAGTCTCAATATAATCAATCGCTTTCGCGTGTACTTTGGAAACTGAATAAGTTTTTTTTGAGATTTACTACAACACAATACCTTATTGGTAATCAACTGTGTTTCTCCAAAATAGTATAATTGGCTCTTCCAGAGCTCTCAATTAATTTTGTACTACCACATATTCATCAACATTCATATGGTTATATATCTCTTTCAAGGAGAAAGTTATACCATTATGGTCATGGTCAAAATTATATGCAAGATATGTTTCTTGCATTATTGTTGTCCTTTAATAATCACATTGCCAAAATGTTTTAGCGTACAATAGGTACGTGACCAATGACCATTCATGCCATAATAATGACATTATTTTCTTATATCATCTTTTACCTCCTTTTAGAGGTGAGTATGGTATATTCACTACAACTAGCACGTTCATATTCTTTCAAGATGAATATGTATTCATAAATCAGATGTTGTCACATTCACATCATGAATGGACCATAATCATCTATATGTGCTTTATAAAATCTCATGTCAAATAGATGACAAATATTACTTTCACAAAGTGAATGATTATTTTGAGAATCCTTATTATTCTCAATATCACAATAATGACGATTATAATTTCGTCTATTATCACGCCCACATCCATTGATACATTCATAGTAGTAATTTTGTCTTCTTCCAGACTTATCACATACTACTATCACATTCTCTAAAGAGAATGAGAATGAAGCAAATTCAATTGGACGGGTTTTTAATTCTTTGCCCACAATCATACATGAATTTGATCATGACAAGGCATAGAAATTTTACCATTTGGGTGGTTAAAATTTCTTTAAAACCCCATTAGAGTTGCAGTCAAAATTTATCGTCTTTGCTTGTATTTAAAATCAAATAGAATGTCAAGAATTTGAAAGAGAAAAGTAAAATACTTACCTTAAATCCAGAATTTAATCATGAAGGAAGTTCATAGAACAATTGACAATTATTATGCTCAATCCCAAAGCTTACGTGTTATGAAACAATAAAAGAAAAAGAAAAGTATTGCAGAGAAAAGTAGAGAGAAGAGAATTCTTATTGATATGGGATGAATTACAGTGGATTAGAACCCTCTATTTATAGGGAGAGATTGACTTAGCCACCCAGCAATAAACCCTAGAATCTCTCTAAATATAGACATTCAGCTTAAATAGAATTCTATTTATAACAGGATACAATTAGTAGTAAACTTTCTAGGGTTGAATTTGATTACAGATTTACTTGGCAAAAATAATTTTGATTAGAGATTTAAGTGATATAGCTGCCAAAGAACTTGACAGTTGGGTCAAGAAAAACCACCATTAAAAAGGAAAAGCATAAAAGAAGAAAGAGAGAAATCAAAGAAAGTGTTCCTTCATTTTCTCTACTAAAGTAATGGACAGTAATTCAACTTGTTACAGTGAAAGAGATTCGTAAGGTATGGTATAGTAACGTGGATGAAACAGAAAAATACAAAAAGCGTGTTCCGTCTATTTGGCTTTGCCAGCTCAGCTACTCCACTTTTATTTGCAGTTTGTCTCTTACAGTCAAATTCACTCATTATTAATTAAACAAAAAAGATCCAATTTGTATATCTCTTACTATTCCTTTTTATATTCAAAAGTTCCAAGCTAAGATTTTCAGAAAGGAAAAGGCCTTTTTGTTCTGCTACTAAATTTTTTTTAGAGAGAGAAAATGGGTTCTATTGGGAATTTGGCTAGGAGAGCAGTGCTGACCAATACACCAGTTATGGTTCAGGTAATTGGAATAAGTGAATCCTGACCTTAGATTGGATATGTTGTTTTTTGTTTGGTTTAGGTTTCTGTGCATTAATGGGATGATAAAGATTGAATTTTTTTCATAATCGATATGCTGGTTTTGTTTGTGTTTTGCAATTTTGTAGATACAAGAATTGGTTCGAGGTGTTGAAGGTTGTATTTCTCTAGCTCAGGTTTGTTTACTTTCTCCAATGTTTTAGAGTACCTTGTTTTCTGCTATTTTTATTTTATTGTTCCACTCTCAATTGAAAGGTTCGAAAACTTGAGAACTGTGATTTGTTGTTCTAAGATTATAAATCATCTTTAAATCTTGATTAGACTAAATTGACTTGTCTGACGTGTTGGAATTTTGGCCAAACTTATTCTTGAGGTTATCAATTTTAATATCCTTCAGTTGAAATATGAATTGCTTAACATATAGAATAAGCCGGTAATGGAAAACAAAAATTCCAATTGGACTTCCCTCCCATTTAAAGGATGTATTCCCAGATGGTTTTGAATGTGCAAATATGAGATTATGACTGGCCACTGAGCTCAGAATGGGTAAAAGGGGCAGGTGGGTGGGTTATGGGCCAAGAGCATATGTATAAGTGGCGCTACTGGTACAAGGTCGGCATTCTTTCTTAAGCCTTTACTGGAGGAACGTTGATCCATAAATTTCTCTGATGTTTGCGAAGTCAAGTTAAATTTCCTGAAATTCTGGTTTTGCAAAAGCAATTATCTGGGGTTTCTCCCATGATCATTGGGGTTGCAGAAACTTACTTTCTAGTATGTTCCATGCCCGTTTGTCCTTTTCATGTGGAGAAATGACTTATCGTACTTTTATTCTTTTGATCTATTTTTTATTTGCATTAACCAATAAGTATGCAGTGATACAGAAGAATAATCAGCAGTGAGAGATTAGTTACCCCTTAGTTATCCTTCTATTATTAGGCTGTATAGGAAGGTCTAGTAGTCTCAGGATCTCTGAGGACCAATCTATTGACAAGCTAGTGTACTGAACCTACACCCAAGAGTAAACAAAAGGAACAAATGAATTATTATCTATCATGGGTGCACTTTTATGTTAGATTGAGTAATTATGTTGGTTTTGCCTGATTATAGCCTGTCTTATTCTGGTACCATACCTTTTTTGTCTATCCATTTTGGTACCATCTTATTTTCTTTGCTTTGCCTTTTAGGGGGTAGTGTACTGGCAACCACCTGCACAAGCACTGAATAAGGTGAAAGAAATTATCTGGGAACCATCAGTTAGTCGCTATGGTGCCGACGAGGGCCTTCCTGAGCTCAGGGCGGCATTGACGAAAAAGGTGTGGTTTATCAGTTGGATTACTCTGGTTTGTATCTTATTAGGTGGTGGGTAGTTGAACAAATATTGGAGTGGCTTAGGGTACTTTGCTTAGTGAAACAGTAGTTATGGCTGCATATGAAACTGGGCACATTTCATTTCTTCAAACTGCATATTGTTCATTCATTGGGATTTCGGTTTTTACTCATTGCTGTCTAATACTTTCTTTGTGCCTTCTCCAGTTGGGTCGTGAAAATGACTTACATAAATCGTCAGTTATGGTTACTGCTGGCGCTAATCAGGTAAGGCATTACTCCTTTAATGTTCTATCTTAAGCTGAATGAAGATAGTAGAGCTATGTCAAAGAGCCATTTGTAGTGGAATGGAGCTGCTACATTTAATGATAAATTAATTGTGTACATGTATTTGTTCTTTGTTGGCGACTACTTTTAGGCTAGTTGTATGCCTATTGCTAAGAAATCTCTAACGGAACCTTACTAAATAATTCCAGGCCTTCGTAAACGTCGTTCTCACACTGTGTGATGCTGGTGATTCAGTCGTTATGTTTGCACCATACTATTTCAATGCATACATGTCATTCCAGATGACAGGTGTTACCGATATTCTGGTGGGTCCTGGTGATGCAAAGACACTCCATCCTGATGCAGGTTAGTGTTTTCATATGATGTTCATCTCGTGGCATCCTCCCCATTATTAAGACTACATTTCCTTCCGTTGGTTTTCGTTAAGCTTGATTATGCTAGATGTTGTGTTATATATCTCTTTTGTGCTAGCTTGAATGGCCAAGTTTGAGTGTCCAAGCATTTTCTTTATCATTTGACCACTTGGCAATTGATTGTAATCATCCATATGGTAATAGGAATTATTTTGTTTTCCAATTGCTAGAAATTTCTCACAAACTTCCTCTACTCTGTATCTAAAACTACTTCAGTAGAAATCAACTTGAGAAGAGATTGCTGCAGACCGCAGACGTAGCGGTTGTGTTTTTTGTTGCAAGTTGGGTAAATCATTCGTGATGGTCTGCTAGCACAAATTTTTATATTCTTCTTGCTATCTCTTCTAGTTATTTGTTCATAACTTATAGTTTGAACACTTTGACGCATAATGTTAACCAGGATATTGCCACTGTTTTGCATAATGAACTTGAGAGTTTCAAAACATTATCTGCCTTCTTTATTTCAGTGTGTATCCATTAACATATTCCATGATTTCTCAATTTTCAGACTGGTTGGAGAGTACTCTAAAGAATACTATACCAGCCCCAAAACTTGTGACTGTTGTTAATCCGGGGAATCCATCAGGAACATATATCCCCGAGTCCCTTCTTAAGGTCTTTATCTCATCTTTATAGATATGAATGGATGGAATGAAGTTTCCCGTTATTCAAAATTCAGTAGATATTCTTTTGTGATTTTTTACTTTATTGAAACATTAAAAGGCTGTTTTTTTGTCAAATAGAGAATATCTGATATTTGTAGAGAGGCGGGATGTTGGCTCGTAATTGACAATACTTATGAGTAAGTGACTTTACTCGTCATATACAAATGTTTCAGTCTCATATTGATTTGAGAACCTGCTGTTTATGAATGCTGCCACTTTGTTTTCTCGTCCATGACGAATGATGTCTTAGAATTAAAGATGGTGATGTTGAATGGAATGATCCTAGAATACTTCTGGTTAGACCAGTAAGAGACTGTGAATATAAGCCAACGATATAGGTTTTTGTTGGCATTGTGAGAAGAATATTTATGCTTTGTGAACCTGAACATACATATCCAACATTTTAGGGTTGTTGGTTTCAAACAGTTCGCTGTATATTAGGACTAGTTTGGTAAGGAAACTTCAGACTGCACTAAATTTGATAGGCAACAAAATTTATGCTATCCTGGGATCTATTGCATGATAATTTTAACTGCTAAGAAGAGGAGGAAAGGAAATAGCTGAGGTGACAGAATGATCAGGTTTAAATTTGTTTGAGAGAGAAATCAATCTGAATCTTAATTTTCAGAGTCCAGTACGCGACCAGTTTGTCATTACATTTCACTGAACATGTCTAGGATTTTTATCTGTATTTTCGTCCATTTATTGCTATTTGTTCTCAATTATTAGATGACAAATAAGCCTGGAAAGTTGTCTTTGTGGAGAGCTAAATTATTAAGACACGTTGCTATTGAGTCTATGCTCCTCCATGAATGCATTTTTCTGTCAAGCATCATCTCTGTTCCTTCTTTATCTTGTAACTTTGTTCAGTACACTTTGCTTGTGGTGTATTATTTTTCCTGAATGATATATTCTTATATATATGTAGCAAATCATTTGCAGGTATTTCATGTATGATGATCGGAAACATGTTTGCATAGAAGGAAACCACATAGTCAACATCTTTTCCTTCTCTAAAGCTTATGGGATGATGGGATGGAGAGTTGGATATGTAAGTGATGCTTGTTCTAACTTATATTTAGACCTAAGAATTTTCTCAGGCAAAAAAGTGATTATTATTCTGCTGGCCGACTCTTGATAGTGTTTGAAAGATGATTTTTCTCTGTTTTCCGCAAATGCATCTCCTTGTCTCATGAACTCCCTCTTGTCTTTACTCGCACATCTATTTTAAAAATCAGTAATACGCCACCTCTGATTAATCTCGACTTGCCAGTCATTAACTTTTCTAAAGAATACTGTTGCATGCTGTCATTTGTGCTTGGCTGAGGAATCTGCTGGGATTGTATGGTATAAAATTGGTCTCAATCACTACCAAATTTAAGTTTCCTTCCGCAACAAAGACAAGTTGTTCCAACAGATGAGACTTATTGAAATGAGACATAATTGCTTTACAACATGTTTTGGCTGCAACCCATACATTTTGCTGTGAATTCCTCTGCGAACTTTTGTACTGAATATTTACTCCAGATTCTAAACTCACAAAGTACTAATACCTGTCTGTGTCTTAATGGATGCAGATAGCATACCCATCGGAAGTGGAGGGGCTCGCAGCTCAACTCCTTAAAGTTCAGGACAACATACCTATTTGTGCTTCTATAATCTCTCAACGACTTGCTCTTTACTCGATGGAAATGGGACCAGAGTGGGTAACTGATCAAGTAAAAGACCTCGTCAAGAACAGAGAGCTACTTCTAGAAGCTTTATCTCCTTTGGGAGAGGGAGCTGTTAAAGGGGGAGAAGGTGCCATTTACCTGTGGGCAAAGCTGCCAGATAAATACGAAAACGACTTCGAAGTAGTTCACTGGCTAGCTAAGAGGCATGGAATAGTCCTGATCCCCGGAAGTTCCAGCGGTTGTCCAGGTTATGTTAGGATCTCCTTCGGAGGATTGATCGAAAAGGACTGTCGGGTAGCTGCCGAAAGGCTCAGAAAAGGTTTGGAAGAACTGGTAAATAGTGGAATGGTTTCATGATTTTCTCTTGAGTAAAAATTAGTATCAGCTTGTTCTCCTGGACACCAGTCATCAACAATACAGGAAAAGACACTTTTAATCCTTAATAATTGAAGGGGTTTTCAGCTTTTGCAACTTGATCATTGGAACTGCAGGTTAAAACTTGCCATTTGTATAGTTTCAAACAATGTACTCATATGTACCTGATTTTCTTAAATGGATAGTGGAAGTGTCTCATATATCTCTGAGCCTGTCTCTTGGAACTATTTATACATATAGGTCAGTTACCAGGTTGTCAGAAATTGCCGAGGTCTAATGGCACACGGTTCAAAACTTGGTAGATAATCGGCCCGTCTCTCTGTCGTTCTCCACTTAATTATAGGTTGATGTTAGCTAAGCAAAAAAAATGGACTTCTAATGGACAGGGTATTTTCACTTAGATGGACGTGCTATGATATACAATTGAAACATGGCACCTCTCTCCGAGGGGATGACCTAGTGGCTGAGGCATGCGAGTAATCTAGAAATATAAGGTTGGAATTAATGCTGTATTTTGTCCCGGGCCTTAGTGGGCCTAACGGGCCGGGCCTCGCGGTCCCGGGCTTCGTGGTCCCGGGCTCTGGCGGTTCCGGTCTTCGTGGGCCTAATGGGTGGAACCGGCCCGTGACGGGCCTAAGCCCACATGGTCTTGTGCTTAACGGGCCGGGCTCGTGGGCTTCGCGGACCTAGCGGTTTTTTTTTCTTTTTTTCAAGACAATTTATTGTACTATCATGGCTATATTAAAAATATATATGTAGTATATATGTATATCTAATTATTAAAGTGCTTG